AGCCTTTGCTTGGCCCTTGCTGCAGCCCCTATACCCATCCCAGCTGCCAAGCCCATGGTCTTTTACCCTTCACAAGTAACCTTTACAGGTTACATTTTCCAAACTCCTTGGTTTCTGCAGTGCTGGAAACCTCTGCTGAGTAGTGGCTTCTGAGGAGATGTCCCTGGTGAGCTGGAAAGGCAGAACGGATTTTGAGCTGCAGCATGTGGGATGAAGGGGAAAGGGCCCTTCTGATGGCTACAGGTGGCTTCTTTCCTTGCTCATGCTGTTGGAAGTCTGGCATGTTCTTAGGGCACATGGCTGGAGATGAGAGTGAAGCTACCCAAAACACAGACCCTTGCTTCCAGTGAAATCTCACCCCTGGGGATTGCTAGAGCCAGTGGAAAGCAGGATTCAGGGGGGACCCAGCTGGGCACAGCCTCCTGAGAGATGCCCTGGTGGTTGTTAATGTGTCTGCTGGGAGCATGGCTGTGTACTGCCAGCAAAGCTGCAGGTATTGCAGGTGTGTCACAGCCACTGCCCAGAGCAAAGCACTGTCCCTGGAAAGGACGGTGGCTCAGGCTCCATCATGAATCATATTTTCAGTCCTTCTCTTCGTCAGCCAGTTGCCAGGCTCTTTGTATAGACCCTGCCTCAACTCTGGCATTGATGATAATAACAATAATAATGATGATGATGATGTAGCCAGTGCTGTGCAAGGCAGACCAGCTGTGCTACTCCTGCCAGCAGCAGTTGGGTACAATGTGTCTGACACCTTTAACTCTTCTTGCTCCAATTGCAATGCAGGGCTCGGAGCATTGGGTATTTATAGAAAGAGAAGCCCCTAGGCTGGAAGTGGTAGCTGTGAGGAAAGCTCTGGGAGTCAAGAAGGAAGAAGCACGTGCAGGTACCTCAGAGGTGCACAGGACTGTGAACCTGCCAAAGGTGAAGGTGACAGTAGGGAAGGCCCAGGAGGTGGCAGGCCAGGAAAAGCCAGCGCCCGCAGTCCTGGATACGCGGAAGAGAGCCAAAATGATTGCCAGTCCCGAGGATTTTGAGTCTGTATGGGAGGATGAGCTCTATGAGAAGGAGAGCAGGGGGAGCTCCAGCCTGGAGGCAGTGCACCTGCCCACTGAGAGCATGGAGGAGAAGCCCCAGGAGCAGGGCGAAGGAGCAGCCACCGGTGAGCCAGGGCTGCCCAAGCCCTGTCAGCAGCCTGAAGAGAGGCAAAGGGCCAAGATTTTGGAGCCAGAGCCTCCCCAGGGAGATGGTGAGGTGCTCTCCAAGGAACGTGCTTTTGCAGCCTGCAGGAAGCAGGAGGCCAGGGTGTCAGTCACGACCACAGAGCTCCTGAAAATTAAAGTGAAGTCTGGCGACGACAGCTCAGAGACTTCCGCAACCCAGAGGATCATCTACTTAGGAGATCCAGAGGGAGAGGAGAAGGACAGTAAAACACTTGTGGTCTCGGACACTGGTGGGTGGCTTGATTTGGAGGAGAGACCAGAAGCCACAGTGAACGTGTCTGGGGAGGGATCCGGGCATGTGGCACCTGTGGCAGAAGGGTTCCAACCCCCTTCCTCAGCAAGTCACCAACATTGGGCAGTGTCTGCAAAGCCGGTCGGAACACTGGAGCAGCCTGGGATGGGCTGTGATGGGACCAGCCTGGCAGGACATTCCCTCTCTGCGTGGGAGGAAGACCTGTCCCTGCAGCCAGAGAAAGCATCTGGTGGGCTGCCTGGCTGCAGAGCACCCTCTGGAAGTGAGGACCTGCCATGTTCCCAGGAGGTGGGACCAGAGGAGATGAAGATGCAGAGCCCAGTGGGAGGCTTGAAGCCATGTGGCCTGGCAGGGGATGGCCATGGGGCTGAGGAGCAGAGAGCGGCCCCAGACCTCTGGATGACAGAGCAGGGGCTCTCGAGAAGAGTTGAAGCAGATGGTGACAGGGAGGAAAGTGCCAGAGTGGTTCTTCAGATGGAAGAGATAGAGACCAAATCACCTCCATCAGCTGTACCTCATCAGGGCCACACTCACACCACAGGGTCAGAGGAGGAGAAACCCAGTGCTCCTGCCCCTCCGCCCTCTCCCCAGCAATTCATCCCTGTCCCTGCAGAGCGAGCTCCAGGCACCGAGCCTGAGGGCACAGACCTGTCCCAGAACACCAGCCCTGTGAGAAGGGTGAGCATGCCGAAGGGTGTGAGCCCCTCTGCAGAGGTGGAACTACCCAGGGAATCTGAAGAACAGCCCCAAGACATGGGATTTGCCTCATGGAAACCACACCAAGGGACTAGTCCTGTTGCAGCAGAACCACCCCAAAACACAGACACTGCAGTAGAGTCAATCCAGGTCAGAGACTCAGCTACAAGGGAGGTGGCCCAGGACATGGACCCTGTCACAGCACAGAGCAAAGTCCCTGTCACCAAAGAGCCACTGAAGGAGGAGAAGCCTGTCATAAAGGTGTTCTTCCAGGACTTGGGGCCCACATCAGGGAAGCTGACTGGAGATGAAGGCTATGGGATGGAAGAACTGTCCCATCACAAAAGCTCTGGTGTGGAAGAGCTGCCCCTCAAGGCAGAAGAACCAGAACAACAGACTGAGGCCATCCTGAGAGACCTGCCCCGAGAGGGTTCTGTGGCAGGAGGGCTCCTCCCAAAGCACAAGAGCCACACTGGGACTCGGAATTCAGTGTGGGCAGGAGCCCGACAGTAGGAGAGACTACTAGGGACAGTGACCTGGCTCCAGGGCAGCCACAGAATGAGTCTTCTCCCAGTGAAGCTGCTGATTTCCAGTCCCCTGTAGCAGGATTTTGCCGAGGAAGTGAGATGACCCAGCTCTCTGCCTCGGTCAGTGAAGGCAGAGGAGAGCTGCAAGTCAGTGGTGGGGCATGTCAAACAGAGCCTGGGTCATTGGTGTGTGTGGCTGGGCAGACAGGAGCTGTGTCCCAGGAGCGTGGAGATGTCACCATGGCCCCAGGAAGCTGGCAGGACAGCAAGAGCTACAGGAAAACCTCTGTGGCCTCTAAGATCAAGATGTTTGAGCAAAGCGAAGCAGAGCGAAGGGCAGCCCAGGAGGGCCAGGAGTGTGTGCCTGAAGCCGAGACATCAGCAAAAGCAAAGGGGAAGATGAGTCTGGCACAAGAAATGCCTTTGAGCACCAGCCTTGCTTCTCCACCAGTGGTGGGACCTGTGGCCAGTGTGGGCTCCTTGGCCCTTGGGCAAGGAGCTGGTTCAGTAGACACCTCCCAACCTCTCTCCCAGAAGGAAGATATGTCTGTTGACCTGGAGCACGAAGAAGACAGTGCTGACCTGGCCTCCCCTGACTCTGGCTGCGAGCTCACCCTGGCCGAGGCCGTGGTAACTCCAATGAACTGTCCAGACGGGACGTTCATGCGCATGTTGTGTGGCTCTCTGACCATGTCCAGTGGCTCCTCACACATCCATTGACAGACAGCAGGCGCTTTGCATCCCTGTCCTTTCTGTCCGTGTGTGTGGTCAGGCTTACTGGCTGCATGCAGACCTGCTGCCCAGTCGGTTCATCAGCTTTTGTTTTGCTGATATGTTGGCTCCCTGGAGAATGCCACTTGCTAAACCCACGAGCAGGCACCCGAGCTTCGTGCCCAGGAGAGGAGAGGGCGACGGGGGGTGGCTGAAGGAGCTGTCACAGACCCACACCCCGGCAGCAGCGTGCCCACGCTTCCAGCTTCACCCTTGCATTTCCTACGTTGATGCCCCTTCTCGCTTAGCTCGCCAGCCTGCCCCACCCTCCCCTGTCTTCAGCAAGCTGGTGGCTGGGTGATGAACTAGCTTTCCTCGTCCTTGTAAGCACTAGATGAGCTCCTGCAGAGTTAATTTCCTTACAACTAACCCTTTTCTCTAATCCAGAGCAAATCTCAGGAACCAAGTGGGGAAGAAAAGGATTTATCTGACCCATCAGTAAAATCCAGCCTGAAAGAAGAGAGTTTAAAGACTGCTGTTCCAGTGGTCTCCCAGGTCTCAGTGCTGTTTTACTAACTGCTTCTCACTGCAGTATGAGCGCTCCCCCCGAGCAGCCAAGGGCTGTGCTGCCAGCTCCACTCCCATTGCAGGGCTGCCATGTATGTATTGGTACAGACACAAACACGTGTCTGCAGGCGTGTTCCTCCTGGGGTTGTCGGACACCCTGTTTCTCATACCTCTCAACCTCCCAGCAGCGCTGGGGGAAGGGTGTGCCAGCACAGCTCAGCCTGTTGGAGAGATGGCTCTGGCTTTCCTCTGGCATCAGTGGGCTTAGAGCTGTTCCTAAGGGAGAACTGGGTCTAGATGTGTCTAGATTTCCCATGACTTCGTGGCAAAGTGTGGTGAGGGGATACATACCCTCTGACGGCGGAGTTGAGAGGTATGTCCACGTCGCGAGCTGATGGAGGGAGGACATCCCTTGGCTCTGACCATGCTGTCAATTACACTGACCAGACACCCAACCAGGTCACCCCTGAGGCTCACCTGAGGCCTCTGGAGGGGGAGGTGCCGTTGGTGGGGCAGACTCACCCCTGGGGCAGCAGCCGCCCCAGCATGCAGGCCTGGTCCTCCCCCCGGGGTGATGCTCCACAGGGCCACGCAGATGCTCAGTGGAATTGGCACACTCCTTTGCTTCTCCCTCACTGTGCCTGGCTGATGGGCCCTTTCCTTTCAAACTCTTCTCTCTTTCCTTCCCTGTGTTTGTTTTTTTGAGTCACTGACATACGATAGCCCTGGTGTCTGAGCTCTTTATGAATGTCTCCTACCAGACCCATTGTTTTGCATCCATCTGCTTCCACCAGTGCGTTGATGTGCCTCCAAGCTGGCCGAGCTTTTTTTGTGGGACCGACCCTTTTTGAGGTGATTAATTGCCAACAGACTTTTGTCACAATCAGACTGAGTAGCTTTCTCCCCCTAGGCCCCCTGCAAAGCGGCTGCTGTCAGAAAGGTTTCGGTCTCCATGCTTGAGTTGTGTTTGACTCTACTCTGTGATGTTTGCTGCAGCTTTCCTCCTCCCCTGTCCCTGTGGGCAGTGCCAGTGCTGCCGCGCCCCGCGGCGCTCATGGGCTCCGTCTCTCTCCGCCATTGTGTCTCATTCAGAGAGCAGGTGTGAGGGAGGGCACCGAGGAGAGAGCTAAACCGCCTCGGCACAGGGCCCCTGAGAGCGACACAGGGGATGAGGAGCCTGACCAGGAGAAGGACTCGGTCTTCCTGAAGGACAACCACCTGGCCATCGAGCGCAAGTGCTCCAGCATCACGGTCAGCTCAACCTCCAGCCTGGAAGCAGAGGTGGACTTCACCGTGATCGGTGACTACCATGGCACAGCCTTTGAGGACATCTCCCGGAGCCTGCCCGAGCTGGACAAGGACAAGAGTGAAACAGAAGATGAGGGCTTGATTTCCTTCCAGCACAAAGTAGTTCCTGGACTGGAAGAGGATGTCAAAAGCAAGGAGAAGGTCTCCCAGCCGAGCTCAGATGTCTCCCATCTAGAGGTACACAGGGACACCATTCCCTGGGACTGTCCCAGTGCCATCATGCCTCTGTGTTCCTTGTCCCGGTGCCCAGCACTGCCTCGCTGGTGTGCACTCCCAGCTGGTTTGGAGGAGCATGCTGGCTTCCAAACCCTCTGGTTCCTGCCCAGGGTACTTTCCCCTGATGCACGCTGTGTCTGTGTTGCATGGCTCTGTCGCGTGCTTCGTACATTGCTAACCAGGAGAAGTTATCGTCACCTCTCAGTCCCCTACGTGTGGCTGCCGCATGCCTCACCCCACACAGCATGTTCACCACGGGAAGAGCACATGGCACTAACCGTCGGCGCTGCCCTCGTGTGTTGCATGAATTGTGACCAGTCTGTGTAGTGAAGAGCCATGTGCTGCCCACTAACCTCTCTGGTTGTGCCAGGGCTGCAAGGGATTTATCAAATGCTTTGTGGGATCCTCTCCAGAGCTCATGGAGGGTCACTCCTATGCCGGGAGGGATTGTAATGGGGCTAACAGCAGTGCATGTGCATGCGTGTGGGGGTTGAGTGTGCGCGCAGGGAGAGGATGGCAGAGCCAGCCCTGCCTTGGTTGAATGTAGCCTAGTGTCTGCCTTGGGCCAGGGTGATCTCCTGCCCAGCCCGTTCTGGGGCAGCCTCCAGCCCTGGCAGGTAAGTCCTAGATCTGCCAGGGTGTGTCCAGACCTGGAGCCAGGAAAAAGATGCAGAATTAGAGGGAGCTTTCTCTGAGCCAACCTGGAAATCCTTGTGTGGAGCGTCTGCTGCCATAGCTGTGGGTGATCCACTCTGTGTGTCCTGTGGGCCGTGTGGGCAGGAGGCTGCTGGCTTGGGAATGCTGAGAACTTGTGCAGGAGCCCTTGGCAGCTCCAGTTTCCTGTAGGGGAAGAGTGCTGGAAGCCTGTCCCCATTCCCCTGTGGCTCTGACAGGCAGGTGTAACCAGAGTCACCAGGAGCTGGTACAGATCATAAACCAGCTGTGGGACAGGTGAAATGGATTTAGTGGATCTCACCTACCTTTTGAAGACCCGTTTGCCCTTATCCATGGTGCCTCTAAATCTATCCAAAAAGTTCCTGAAAACCCCAGGGACAGAACATCAGGTGTGATTTGGGGTGTGTAGGTGACAGGGCACTGTGGATGGTGGTTGTCTGCCCAGAGCAGCCTAGCCCCTGTTTGTTGCCCAGGTAGGGCTCTGCATCAGGACATCCTTTGTGTGTGGCATCTGCAGAGGAGCAGGGCAAGGGTGCTCTACCAGGGGCTGGTGCACAAGAAGCACAGAATAGCAGACTAACAGACTGGTTTGGGTAGGAAAGGACATTAGAGATCACCTTGTTCCATGCCCCTGCTATGGGCAGGGTACTCAGGACTGTTGGCATCGTGCCCCAGTGCCTGATTTGCTGTGTTTCTCCTGCAGCCATCAGCCCCCAAAGTGGATGGTGTGACCGTCGGCCTGGGGCCGGGCGTGAAGAAAGCTGAAGCAGATGGCTCCGCTCCCCACCGGGTTGGCACCACAGACTCAGCCCAGGTGACATGGTGGCTCTGTCCTCCTATGGCCCTGCTCCCCCATGGCTGTGCCAAGCCTCAGGCCACCAAAACCTGTTCCTGGGCACCAGTGCTGGGAGGTACAGGGGCTGAGTTGGGGGGACAGGGACAGGTTGGGGGCCTCTGCTCACCTTTGGTTTGCTCAAATCCCCAAAACATCAAATCAAAGCTCACCCAGAGATATTCTCTGTGTCTCTGGCCCCATCTGCCATGCTGCTGTGCAGTGCTGGCACATGGGAGCATCCCCAGAGGGTGAGAGTCGCCAGCTGCACCGCACGTGTCTGTGGCCTCATGGCCCTCCCTGGCTTCCTCTGGCAGCAGAGACAGCCACACTGTCCCTGTGAGTGTCACCCCCTCCCCAGCACCTCCAGGCTCACATGGTTTGCTTTGCCCTGGCAGGTGGATGGAGCCCCCCCAGGCAGCAGGGACACCACTGCCACGGCCCAGGCTGGCACCGCAGAGACAGCACCGGCGACCTCAGTAAGCAGGACTGGCCCTCGGTGGGCAGGGGAGCTGCTGCCCCTCAGTCCCTTTGCTCCAGTGGGGGAGACAGGGTCCAGCTGTGCCCCACTGGGGGTGTCTGCAGAGGGTGACCTGCCACGTTCGCCCTCATGTTGTGTCTGAGCCAACATGCCCATCTGCTCTCCTTTCAGGATCACAGCACCAAGGCTGGGAAAGGGGCTGCTCCGGCCACAGATCTTCGCTCCCTCTCACCGGTGAGGGCAGCACGTGGTGCCACCAGCCAGGCTGAGTGGGGGACAGGGGGAAGGCAGCCCTGTGGGGCTGGGACCAGGTGGGATTGGTCCCACAGGGCCACATCCCATGTGCCCAGCGCTGGCACCCTTGGCTGATGTGTTGGTACTGGGAAGGGCTGAAGGGTTCTCAAAAGATGGGGAGCAAGATGCCATGGGACCCTGACCTGTGGCTTTTTTCCTGTGCCAGATACATTGAGTATTTGCCTGAGGAGGGTAATTCCAAAAAATAGCCTAATCCTTGGTGCGTTCTCATAGTGGACTGAGGTACCCTTAGCCGTGGGTGTCCTGCCCAGCCACCCAAGGCCACCCACAGAGTCTCCTGACTCTCAGTGAAGGTGATGGCCACCAACACTCTGCCCAGCAGCAGGACTTCCTCTGCAAAGGGAGTTCCTACTCCAACTGCCTGGTTTCAATGGAGTCCAGCCTGGCCAAATGCTGCCCCAGGCTCGACCCTTTGTGCAGCAGCACAGCCTTCCCAGAGGTCTTTCCTTCCAGTCTTCCTTCCCAGCCTTCCTTTCCAGCCTTCCCAGCCCTCAGCACACACAGTGGGACAGACAGAGCTAGAGGCAGCCTGGGAGTTCTGTGCTGAGGTGGCCCTGAGTGTGGGTGGGATAGAGTGGAAAGCTGCCATGAGACCATCTCCCTGCTGCAGAGACCCTTTTCAGAAGCTCTGGGCCTGGGGTACCTGTGGAAACCTCTCTTTGTCCCCACAAAACTCCCAAGTCCACTTGGAAGCATAGTGCAATGCCTTTTTCCCTTGCCACTCTCTCCTTTCCCAAGCTTGGCTCTCAGCATGGTGCATCCTGCTGGGAAGGTCCCAGCTCTTCAGGAGCCAGCACTGGGGCCTCTCCCAGGACAGCCCCCTGATCCACTGCTCTGTGTCCCACAGATCTCTGGCAGCTCCGCTGGGAAGGAGGTGCTCACCAGCATATTCAGTGCCACTGCAGAAACTCTCTCCACTTCCACCACTACCCACGTTACCAAGGTGAGAGCAGCTCCAGAGGGGCCAGCCAGGGGTTCCTGGAAGCCACTGGAATTAGAAGATGGGTAGATTTATATTGTGATTAGTACAGCAGAAAGTGCCCCTCTCCTCCTTACAAGCCAAGAAGTGTGTGCTGTCCTGTGGCAAGGGCAAGCCTACACAGCACCCCGTGCCTGGCTCAGCCCTGTGCACTGCCCATTCCATCCAGCCAGGGAACAGCAGGCAAGGACAGCCAGCTGTCTGGTGTGCATCCAGCCAGGTGCAGGCCAGGGGTAGCGATGGTGGGAAATGAAGGAGACAAGGCTGCAGCAGAGGACCTCACCCATGGTCATTTCATCCACAAATTAAGTACACTTCTCCCAGGTAAGAAGCAACAGGATAAGAGGAAATGGCCTCAATTTGTTCCAGGGAAGGGTAGACTGGATATTATGGCAAATTTCTTCATAGGCACTGGAATAGCTGCCCAGGGCTGTGGTGGAGTCACCATCCCATCCCTGGAGTAAAAGATGTGTAGTTATGGCACTTGGGACATGGTTAGTGGTGGCCTTGGCAGTGTTGGGGGAATGGTTGGACTTTATTATCTTAGAGGCCTTTGCCAACCTACATGATCCTGTGATTCTGTAAACTACAGTAGAAGCTCAGTGAGGGACCTGAGCAGAAGGAGAGGTGCTTGGTCCCTGCCACCCAGCCCTGTTCTTTCCCCCACCTGTGGCCAGCTGTGTCTTGACCTCACCATGCGCTGAGTCAAGGACAGTGGGAGATGTGCTGCGTTACAGGGGCAGTTCCTAAGGTGATGCTGGGGTTGTCCCTCCTCCTGAGGGCAGAGCTGGCTGGTGGGACAGCTGGGGTGAGTACTTTCCTTCTCCTTGTGCAGACTGTGAAAGGAGGATTTTCCGAGACCCGGATAGAGAAGCGCATCATTATCACAGGAGATGAAGATGTGGACCAGGACCAGGTAGGATCAGGACACCCTGACTTTGCCCAGCTCTACCTGTCTCCAGCTGCAGCACCACGTTTCTGCTTTTGGCTCATACCTGTTTACTACTTCTCTCCAAAAACTGACCCCTGAGGCCCCAAGCCTGTCCAGCAGGGCAGGTCCCCATGGGTGCAGTGACCCCCAGCCCATGAAGCAGTGGTAGAGGTCACATCCCAGCACAGAGCCTAGTGGTGGCATCACCTTTTAATTGTCTTAAAACACATTGCCAGGTGTCCTTTCTCTGCAGAAATATTCCAAAGCGACCCAGGTCCTTTCTCTTTTCCCACTAGTCTCACTCCAGGTTGGCTCGCTCCAGGTGATGGTGTTTTGCCTGTGCCTCTGTGACAGAGGAACAAAAAGTGACACACTTTTATGATGAAATAACAGAGACTGACACGAATCTCTGGGGCCATGGGGTCATTTTCCTGTGGCCTAACCCTTTGGGATTTGTTGGTTAAGAAAAATTAGAGATAAAAGCATTTAGAAGGCTCTAAAATAACTTTTAGAATTACAATAATAAATTTGATAATTGTAGATTTTTCTAGGGTTTTGCTGCTCTTCCTTTGCCCAGGTTTGAGCAGGGAGCCTGGTATGTAGCACATCTCCACAGAAAGAAACAGCAAGAGGCAGCACATGAGAGATCCGAACGGTGTACGAATTCCCAGTCAGTGCTAGGTTCCACCTCTTCTGCAGGCTGCTGTGGGTTCAGCTCTGAACCCCTGCATCTTTATCCTCCTGGAATCCCACTCTGCTCCAGCTGTGTTCTGACTGTCAGGGAACCCGATTGCAGACAGTGAGGATAAATGCTTTCATCCTTCTGGTTTCTAGGCACTGGCTTTAGCAATCAAAGAGGCAAAACTCCAGCACCCTGACATGCTGGTAACCAAAGCTGTGGTATACAGAGAAACAGACACCTCTCCAGAGGAAAGAGACAAGAAACCTCAGGTAGGTGGAGGAGCTGCCAGGTGTGATTTGTCCCCACAGGCTAAGGGGGGATGTGATTAGCCACGTGTCTCTGGTCCCCACCTGCTGCAGGTGGTGCTGCCCCTCAGCACTGAGAGTGGCAGCTTTCAGCTGGTGGCTCTGGGCTCTGGTGGTAGTTAGAAAGCTGATGCCATGCCACCAGAAGCAATCCTGCAGATGTCACCTTGCTGTGCTGCTCAGCACAGGGACAGAGTCATTGCACGTAAAGAGGAAAGGACCTGCTTGTCCCCATGGGGTGGGGGAGGAAAAGGGGATAGCAGTATTTTGGATGGGCTGGGAAGCTTTGCTATGGGTTTGGCAAAGCCAATCCAAAGTATCAGACAAGCATTTGCCAAAAAGAGGTTTCTTTAATGCCATTCACATCCCCAGGTTGTCTTTTGACACACACACACACAGGTGTAGGCAGCAGCACACAAGGTTTGCACCTCCCTGCAGATTGCCCAGAGCTGTCACAGCCCCAGACTTTTCTTCAGGGTTTGGGGAGTCCTGCCCCACTCCTAATCCCCCTCCCTGACTCTGTTACCCCCGTCAGCCAGGTGCTGCAGCTCCTCAGGGGTGGCACAGCCACCAGAGCCCTGTGTGGGAGCAGCAGAGGGCAGGGGAGTGTGGTGCAGAGGAGAAGGAGCCTCGCTGCCAAAAACTGTCTATGGGGTTCTGGCAGCAGCCAGGCCACAGGTGTGTTTGGAGAGGCTCTTTGGAAATGGGATTTTCTGCTTCTTTATCATATGAAGATTTTGACTGGCAGCTTTTAAGCCTGGAAAAGTGTCCAACTCTGATGAAGCTGGGAAGGTCAGGAGAAACTCTTGCAGCTGCCTAATTGTAGGTCCTGTCTTACAGGACAGAGAAGCAAGCCCAGACACTCCTGCATCCCATAGCAGCCACCCAGTTTTAATTGAATGGCTTAAAGTTAGGGAGCAGTGACTCCCCCTTATCTCCTTCCTATGCCAACCCAGTGACTGAACACCAGCCCAGTGACTGAACTCCTGCTAATTACCAGAGCTCCTGCTAATGAAGTGCAAACTGTGGCCCCAAGTGTTTACAAAGTCCAGTGCCCTCATACAAAGAGGAGCCTCCATCAATTTGCATGCTATGGATTGACACTCCATGGATTGGCACTCCATGACTGGTCCTTTCCATCTGCCTTGTACAGGAATCTTGACCAACATGTTCCTGGAAATCAACATCTGTATTCCAACCTGGAGAACAGGGGAGAAGGAGCCTTCATGCTGGATTTGTCAGCAAGACATAGACATCCTGGCTGCAATGTTCATGGCGAGAGACAAAAATTTTTAAAAAAGGAATAGCAAATATATTATATATATATATACATACATACATATATATATATATATAAACAGGAAACAAAATGCATCCTTGCACTGCTGCTATATGCTGGAAACGAATAGCAAACAACACCACCAACAAACAAAGGCAACCCTCTGCAGATAAATTGAGGAATTTCCTGGATTGGTGATCAAATAAGATTTAAAAAGTTGTAATAATAACAGTAATATTGGTAACAATACAATAAGCCACCATCTTGCATGTTACATTAAAGGACACAATCATGAGTTCATTTGTTGCACACTGAATGGAAAGGAAAACTGCTTTGCAACAAAGCAAGAAGTAAGCAAACTGAAGTAAAAAGCCACAAGCAGAAGCAAAACCATTCCCACCTCTGGAAAGAAGAGAGAAAACACATTGAATTTATGACCTTATTTTCCAATTCACAAGTGTCGTTACGCCCTTCTCCTCATTCCATGCTGGTTCTTTTGCATTTTTTTGGGGTTCTGTTAACTCTTCCCCTTCCCTTCCTTATCTTCTCTGTGCACTTGTCCAACCTCTTGTTCTCTGAAGGTATTTAGGAATGGAATTCATTTCAAACAAAGCAAATAATATATATATGGTTTCTCATCTCTAAAGAGCAGCCTGTGGGGTTTCATATGGATGTGCATTTCAGTTATGTATATTATTATATATAACGAGGGGGGAGGGAGGGAACAATGCTGAAATAATTCGACAGTGCTGGGAACTATGATGCCAACATTTTTAAATTATTAACTCTTTGATTGACTGTGGTTGGTGTATTTTGACACTCTTAGATCACATGTGGGACTCTGAGTCCTGCAAGAAGAGACCAGGGAAGGTTTCAGCAGCTGCTGGTTGGGGAAGAAGGGAGGAAGGTGAGGGACAGGAGATGTCCCACTGGCTGACCTGCAGCATATGGTGGTTAGATGTGGAGGGGCAGCAGTGACTTGGACGGGCAGGGAAGGGGGTTGAGGCTCCAGTCTGACAGCTGTAGGCAGGATGGTCTCCCAGCCCCCCACTCGGAGCCAGGGGATCAGGCAGGAGTGAGGTGGCAGCCTCAGGACTGCACCAGTTGCTCCCCTCCAGCCTGCTGAGCCGTGCTGGTGGTTGGGGTGGTTTTGCTTTGTTTCTGGATCCCAGTGATGAAGTTACTTGAGCTTTGTGGTAGGGTCAAAGGCAGAGGGGTTGTTTCTGTCTTGCCTACCCGGGGTGTGATGGCAAGGGCTGCCTGAGGTGCTTGGGCTGGGGACAGAGATGGCAGGGCGATGGCAGTCCTCCCCAGACCTGCCAAGGGATGGGCAGTGGAGGGGTGTGCAGTGTCCATCACTGCAGAGGCTCTTCAGCATCCCGGGCTGGACAGGAGAGCACAGGCCCTCTGTGTAAGCAGGCACGTGTCGAGTGACACCTGTCAGTGGAGCTGCCTTGCCCCAGCTCGGCCTTGAGGCACAGGCTCCCTCCATGGCTGCCTTTGGAAGGGGATCATGGGCCAAGCCCAGGGCCCTGTACACTGTGAACCAGGCAGTTAGGGTAGACTTGGAACCAAAACCAGAAAGGAAAGGAAATAAACGGGTTTCCTTCTCAGAATCGTCTCTAGCTCCTGCAGAAACAGAAGGGCCCACGATTCTGCACCATTTTGCCTTTAGTCTCCCACCCCTCACACAGACTGTGCCCAGAAATAGGTGTGTTTTGCCAGGCCCTGCCACAGCTCAGAGGATGCCTGAGTGGGAGAGCCTGTGCCACAAGGATGCCATGGGCAGACCCCACTCACCACCTCCACTGTCCCAGGAGGGAGCTGCTCCCTGGCAGTCACACTAACCAGTTGCTTACCAGTATATTCCTGTGAAGTCTGTTCTCCTGGTAGAGAGATTTCTCCTGCAAGTGTGGAAGACATGAGCACAGGCTGCTGGGGAAGCAGACAGGGCTGCTGGCTGCTGCCAGTGCTGCCAGCTCCTTCCTGAGGGTCTCCCCAGCTTCCAGCCAAGCGCCTTCAGCTACCTTTAGAGAGCAGACCCCCAAACAAAAAAGAGTTAAGGCAGTTGCAAAGAGGCTACTTTTCTCTCTTTTCTTTTTCCAATGCGCCCAAGCCAGCCGTGACCAGCAGTGGCACTGTTGGAGGGAGAGGGGGTGTTGGAGGGTCTGCCTACCGTGCTGGTGTTACCAGCTCACGGTGTGTCTCAGACACGGAGGAGCTCACCCAGCTTGGACACCTCCACAACCCACCCGAGGCCACTGTGACCCTCGAGACTTTCTTTTGGCATTGTGCACAGTCAGGAAAGCAAAGGATCCTGAGGGAATGCAAGGCCTTACAGAGTTAGACTTCACGTGCGCGTGGACTGCAGTGTGTTCGGTTTGCAGTGAGCAGCCCCAGTCCCTGGCTCCCGCAGTGTGCTCATGGGTGGCAGTTTCTCAACGTTTTGTGAAAAAAAAAAAAAAACAGAAAAAAAGGAAAGAAAACAGCTCACTGCTTGTTCTCCTGGCGCGGTGTGGCTTTCTGCTGCTCAGCCCCAGCCTGCCCGTCCCCGCGCTCTGGTTCGGATAGCTGGTCACTGCTTGTTTTCCTCCAGGGGCCTTTCTGTTGGGAGGGGAGGAGACACGAGTGCCTGTTTGTACCCGATCCCACAGACTCATTCTGAACCTGGCCTGCAATTGCATGAGTAATAATAACAGTAACAGTAATAATAATATTTATTTTTATTTGAGAAGCACCTTACCAACCAACTGCAACGCTCTGTTGTTCCTTCACTAACTCTCCTTTTCTCTTCCCTTGTTCTCCCTCTCCCCCTTGGTCATACTCCTTTTCAGTGCTCGGTGGTGTATGCGTGTGTGCTCACTGTTCTTGTACTCAATAAAAGTGAAATAAATGTGTTTGATGCTAAATCAGCCTGGAGCCTTGGTGGACTCTGTCATGCTGAGAGGATGGAGGAGTGGAGGGAGAATCGTGCAACAGGAGTCACTGCACATGGAAATACAGGACTGTCTAAAGCGAAGATCTTAGAAACCATAGAAATCCCACAATGGTTTGGGTTGGGAGGGACCTTACATCTCATCTCATTCCCCCCCCTGCCATTGGCAGGGACACCTTCCACTAGCCCAGGTTGCTCCAAGCCCTGTCCAACCTGGCCTGGAACACTTCCAGGGATGGGGCAGCTACAGCTTCTCTGGGCAACCTGTGCCAGTGCCTCAGCAGAGAGGGATTTCTTCCCAATATCTCATCTATCCCTGCCCTCTGGCAGTGGAAAGCCATTCCCCCTTGTCCTGTCCCTCCAGGCCCTTGTCCAAAGTCCCTCTGTGTCTCTCTTGGAGCCCCTTTAGGCTCTCTTAAGTCAAAGGTCTCCCTAGAGCCATCTCTTCTCCAAGCTGAACCCTCCCAGTTCTCCCAGCCTGTCTCATGGCAGAGGTGCTCCAGCCCTTGGGAGTATCTTTGTGCCTCCTCTGGACTCACTTCAACAGGTCCATGCCCTTCCTGTGCTGAGGACCTGAGCTGGAGGCAGCACTGCAGATGGGGACTCACGAGGGCAGTGAGATGCCACCAGGCTGGGAATTGTGGCTGGTAGAGCTGGAAGCAGCTTCATGTGGCAGTTGCTGACCCTTGTGTGCACCTGTGGGCAATGAAGGTGGCTCTGAGGATGCTCAGAACACGGGGAGAAGGTGGGATCTGCCTTGCTCTGGGAAG